GGATGTAATGAGCCACCTTAAGACTTTGTGCGGTTTTTATAAAGGGTAAACTGCCCTTCTTACTTTCAATACATCTTATCAAACATTTTAAAGTTGGTGAGAACCCGCTCTTATAGTGCTGCTATGTGCAAAATGGCCCTGAAAAAAATAAGCATGTTCCATATCCAAGGGGTTCATGTTTTGTTTTGAAAAAATAAAATTTTTTTCAAAGTGCGGACGTAATGGAATATCGACCATATTAACGCTCTTTGAAAAAAATAAACTGAAAACAAATCTTAGGTATCAAAATAAGTAATATAACTTTTGAAATAATTTTGATAATCCAGGATGTGAAAGATCTAATTTTCAAAATTCTCTCTTAAATGTTTTAATTAAATTTTGCAAAATTTTTGAAAGTTTTCAAAACTGTTATAATAATACATATATTTGGGTGCAGCATAAGTAGATATCAACAAATCAGAATTTTGCATTTAAAGATATACGTGTACTATTCTAGGCATTGAAAATTTATCCACATTCAATTTGCTACCTTCAGCTATGTACAGTGTATAAGAAAAAGAGATATGACAGTATAGCCTACCTTTGAAATTAAATCAATACATGAAAATTAAAAATATTCTTTTAAAAGGTCAATTATTACAAATTGATTCTCTCAATTACTACGATCTAAGTGTAATTTTTTTTATACAATTTTTTTTTCAAAGTGCGTTAAAAGTCGCCAAAGTATAAAATGTTGATGTACACTCTTAATGCACTTTGAGAAATTTTTTCAAAGTGCTTTGAATGTGTCTCAAATTTAACGCACTTCGAAAACATTTTTCAAAATGCGTTGATTTTGTCATTATTTTAACGCACTTTGAAAAATTTTTTCAAAGTGCGTAATTTTTTCAAAGTGCGCTGCCACAAGGGTTACATACAAATAATTCTAAAAGACTCATCCATTATAAGTGGAAGACGCATAACAGTTCCGAAAATTCTGTGATTAATGTCTGAAAAAGGATAATTTTTTCTCAAATAGAACGCAGTTTCTTCTCTTCTGCGTTGATCCCGTGAATTATACAACGATTCTGTCAAGAGATTAACTATCACTTAAGATACTTGTACTGATCTATGGACTACACGGATGTTAATATCTCTACTAATCACTCAAGAACAGAAAGTACATGTATATTGCATTTGACATCAATATCTTGGTAAAATGAAAATGATGCTTTTTATGCATATTAGGTTTTATTATGAGCAGTTCAATGAAAGATACATGTACATGTAAGATATATATGCAGGGGGGAATTATTTTCTTTTTTTTTTTTGAATAGTGACATCGTGCTCTAAATGACTTTGATATTAAGAAGTAATAAGATGAACGTATTAATGTAGGCACATGTAGTTTCTCCTAATCGTATGACTGACTAAGAAAAAAAAGATTTATAAGAATAAATGTTTATTCCACACATACTCTGATTTACATATATGTCTTAGAATTCATTATACCCCACGCAACAATTTGCTTGAGGTATAATGTTTTTGACCCGTCCGTCAGTCAGTCCGTCAGTCCTGTTTTTATTTTGGTCAGCGCATCTCCTCAAAAACCGCTGCACAGAATTTTGTCAAACTTTGCAGATATTTAGGACACAATATGTAGGTGTGCATATTACCAGGAAATTCTGATTCCTTTATTTTTTCCGGGAATTTCCGCACTTTTCTACTTAGATTTTTGGCCATACCTTAAAAAAGAGATGAACACTTTGTGTTATTTAGGACACAATGTGAAGATATGCATATTACCAGGAAATTCCGATTTCTTTATTTTTCTGGGAATTTCGGACTTTTCAACTTAGATTTTTGGCTTTACCTTGAATTTAGAAATAAACATATTGTCAGCGCAACTTCTCATAAACCGCTGCACAGAATTTCGTCAAACTTTGCAGATATTTAGGACACAATGTGTAGATCAGCATATTACCAGGAAATTGGGATTACTTTATTTTCCCCGGAAATTTTAGCACTTCGAGTTTGGGGGGAGCGTGGGGTATGTGAGCTTGCTCACTTTTTCTTTGATTCTTGATTGTCCATTCTTATATTATGTTGACCCGTTAATCCCGGTGAAATTAAAATAAAATAAAAGTTTCTGTTTCATATTAAGATTTTTACAAGAATAAGACGTTGATAATAATATACCAACAAAGTTTCGTGATAAACGATATGACTTGAACTTTTCAATCGTCAGCTTCCCTTACTTATGCAAAAATACCCTTGTCCCTTGCATACGAGATTTATATATCTCAGTTGATTAGATATGTGAGAGCATGCTCTACGTATGAACAATTTCTAACACGAGGTAAGTTATTAGCAAACAAGTTGATGAAATAAGAATATATTAAGCAGTCTAATCTAATTATTTCCTGATTACATATGTATGACAAGGAGCATACGACGGATGTGACCGGTCGGCAGGGGATACACATTCCTCCATGGCACTGCATCCCACTTCTGATTGTTTGCTCTCACTGATCCTAATTCGTACTGTATAATGGACTTAAAAGCTGTTCAGTATCTCAATGAAAAACATTTTACACCCCTTTACAATGTTACTTATTTAAGCATGGATTTTATTATCATTATAGAAAAGCAGAGCTATATTTCTCTTGCTTTATTTAAGACCTCAAATTATTGGTCCAGGCCTAGGATTGGATCACAATGGAAAATCAAATCTTTAAAGGAATACACTTTTAAAATCTCAAAAACAGCAAAAATGATTTTGATAGGAGATAAAAAACAGTATTTGAGGTCAAAAGTATATTAAACAATAAAAATCAAGAGCAGAGCAAACACATACCTCTAAAACATATAATCAAATATGTAAAATCATAAAATTACATTCAAATCTTAAATTTTACAGGTTCGTGGGGGACTAATTTTGTGTATAAAATTTACTCAATCCTGCAGAAGAAAGCTTGGTAAGTAATTCAGTTTGTGAGGATGTTTATTCGTGGATGGTCGGTATATAGCGTACCCACGCATGAATTCAACGTAAATTAAGTCAACTCGAAGTATATTTCCAAGCATATGAAGTCATTTAGATTCATGTTCCTTCTAAACATCATAAACAAAGAACGATGGGGCAACAATGAACTCATAAAATGTATAGAAACGCCACAACTATAGTCATTATGTATACGCAAGCATTCTCAGGTAACGTACATTTAAGTTTGTTTCCATTCCTGACCGTCGGTGCTAGATTGGGTTATACCGGTACTAGAAAGATCAAACTTCAACGTGTACCGGAGAAAATCTCTAAAAATTCTTCGAAGCAATATAAAGTCATAAAAAAATTAAAACACTTTTATTTTATGATGTATAAATATATCTCTTTTTAAACAATAATTGTAATACAAGGTTAAATGATTTTAGTAACAAAAGGAAAATAACCGTTTATTCGAACAGGAATATTACATTCAAATCTTTTCTACATTTTGGGTTGTCTTTCTTCTTATGTTTCATTGTGTCTCTGATGAATTCTGATTTTTAAAATCATTTTCATTGTTAAATGGAAACTGCGCATAGGTGTCATAATGAATGTAGAAAGAGTATTTTAGCTCATATGATAGACAACTTTTAAATGATAATTAAATGGGGAAGAAACATCATATACGATGCAGTTTAGTTGAAACTTTAAAAAAAAAAACAGGTCTATCAAGTGTACTGTCGCATGAACTGTATTTTTGCAATAAGTCATTTAAATGTTTGTACCCTTATTTGTTGGTTTAAGTTTCAATTATTTACAATGTATATTTTTTATATGAGTAATGAAGTACAAGGAAATAAAATTTTATATAAATTTTTCTGCGTTATGTTTCGTGCTTAGAAAATTGTTTTCATAAGAACGTTATAATGCATAGCATAACTAAAACAGGAGTTTGTAAAATACTCAGAGTGTGTCTTTGGTTTTAATTTTGAGATTATTTTTCATATCTTAGTTGAATAATAAGGTTTGCAAACGAATTCAAATTACATGTATTTTTATGTTAAAAAAAAATTAATTGTTTTTATATTGAGTGACATGTTTTCTATTTATATACTTCTTTCATCAGAAGTGAATGTAACGTTACAATAAGTAAGCACTCAACAATACTTTGGATTGGATAAGATATTGATTTTTTGAAATCCTGTCTGAATGTACTCATTTTTTTTACTTTCGGTTTCAAGTTTACCCATCAAAGTCATATGTTTTTAAACCTAAATTTAGAATTCAACCCCCAAAGTTAAAATATCAATTTGTCAAATGATTATAAGAGAATATAATATGAAACTAAATGAGTTTTAATGAATTTAGAGGCGAAAATACAACTCAATAATTCTTCCTTATCAAATGTATGCAGTAAAGAAGAGTATATGTTTTTGCTTTGCGTTACCTTTTTATCATAAGGACAGATGATACAAACAAAAAATGGATGTCTGGATTGGTATATCTTTCTTGGTCTAATTTCATCGAAATTGATGCAAATAATAAATTCTAGAATATAAAGAAACTGTAAACCTTCTATGATGTTCAACATTCTGCCTCTCTGAAACCATCCTTATTAATTTATACAAATATTTTTCAATTCAAATCCCATTTTTGTGAAAATTTGAATAAAAAATAAAAACTGCATGCACGGTGAAATTTGTTCACTTTACTCAATGTTTTATTGAGTAGCTCAAGTTGCTATTTTCAATTTTTTTTTTAGAAAAGTTTGTTTGTTTCATCTGTCCTTAAATAACATAATTTGACTTACACTTTTCCATCTACATGCACTGTATAATTATGTAATTTAGCATACAGATTTGCACTTCTGAGGTACTACAAAACTTGACGACTCATCGATATTTTTTGAAAGCAAATTGAAAGGCTTGTTCCATTCTTATTTTCATTTTCGTGTTTCAGATTTACCAAAGAGGTATCGAGCGACCAAACTGTATTCTTTTAAAATATGAATGTAAAGCTCAATAGCTCAGTTTGATTTTACTACATGTACTTTATTTTCTTCACTTTACCACTTTCACACTCTGCCACAAAGAGGTTGTCTTTGGAATCTACACATAAACCCCACGGTTTTTCAAGATCACAGGTGTCAATATAGCGAAGAAATTGTCCATCTTGATCTAATATATGAACACAGTTGTTATACAAGTCTGCAATCAATATCTGACTCTGACTGTCTGTGGTGATGCCATATGGATTAAATGGTCCCTTGGTTTTAGAGGGATGACCAGTGTATCGGAATCGTAAGTTTCCATCTCTGTCCACAACGACCACAGCACTGTCACCAAAGTCTGCCACACAAATGTCCCCATTCCTGTTCTCACTGATATATTTGAGATAATCGGCAGAAAAGAGAGGTTGACCTTCAATATCAAACTGAATGGTTTGACTCTCTTCGAGGTCTTTGTAACGTACCACTTTAGACTGCTTTTCGTCATCACTAAACATGGTAACTAGGAGATCATCTGCAAAGGTATTGCAGATGTAATAAGGTTTCCACCCTTCAAGTTTGATGATTTCCTCTGTATCTTTGTTCTTCACTCTATTCACAGTTCTTGCTTCGGTGTCAGTATAAACTAGCTCCCCATTCAATTTCAATGTTATGTCATGTGGTCTCTCCCCAGACTTGGTTTCAATTGACTTTAGAAGAATTCCATGAATGTTGTACAGTTTCATGATGCTTTTCTCCCCACGAGTCCAGAATTTTTCGTCATTGACACAGACTAGGCAGCGTAGGCCACTATACCCAGTTTGTATCGTGTCGATGAGAGAGGGTTCGTCAGACATATCTGTTAGAATCGGTTAGATGACAAAATATTTCATTAAAAACTTTTTTCTTTTGCTAACAAAACATGTCTTAGGATAGAAAGGATTGTTCTTATGATATAGATTTCACAAGAAGTTATTAATAATATCTTACCTTTGCAACTTTAAAGTTAAGAGATCTCTTTAAGATCATGGGCTTGTAGGAAAACTACTTTCTCTTTACTTATTTCCGGATTGGCTCAGTGACTTGAGTCACGTCCAAATTTTTTTTTTATTTTTTAAATATACATACTTGTTTAAATATATTATGAAAATAGAGTACTTACACGTAAGCAAAATTGTGTAACACGGGAAAAAATTAATGATTGTTATATACAATGCCTGAATTCGCTGATTGAAAACAGTTTTTATTGAATAAAAATTAAGATATATGAATAACTCAAGGTTATTGTACCCCAATTAATTTGTCAAAATCAGTCTTCTTAATATCGATCTAAGGAGTAGATTATTGTTAGGTTTTGTCGTTGTGTTCAAACACAGACTATGCATAAGGTTTTTAAATGGAGTTTTTAAAGGGAAGAATACAGTATATTGAGCTAGGGTTTTAAATAATATAAAAAAAAGGTCTAGTTCAATCAAGACAATGAATAGAATTCTATTTTCTAATTATCAAAATATAATGAAAAAAAATAGCTAGTTCACCTTAAAAAAAAATACTTTAAATTTGAGAAATATTTGTAGGAAAGCATTTTTTGAAGAAGTGTTTCTTTGTTTTATAGTTTTAAATTTATAACAGTTGTAGTAATTTTAAAAGACAACTAAAGATACTTATGACCAAATAAATAACAGGGGAAAGGTAATTTATAAAAAAAAAAGTATTGGTTAAAAAAAACCAGGAAGCGTTCATCAACTTCGAAGTCCTTCTGTCACACATTATATTTTAGTCGTATGAGAATTCATCATCAGGACTTGTACACTGTAAACCATACTAGGATGGTTGAGGTGTTTGTTTAATGCCCCTTTGAGAACTTTTTACTCATATTCAGATGTTACCCCTTGCCGGATGTAGAGCTGCAGATTTAGGCTTGTACATACATTTTTGAGCAGTGAGAGATCTTTTTCGAGTTATTATCCACTGAGGCACTGTGTTTTAAATTTCTTTCAAAATACTTGGAGCAATATTTCTGAGGGAAGGGGATGCTTAATTCTCCATGGCACATAATCCCACCTCTGATAATTTGAAAGTCCGTGATTGATCTGCTTCATTTGTATTATTTGAAGGATTTTTGAGCTTGAATACTTTTCTTTATCTCAAAATATTTTTACCTTTCCAATGTCTTCGTCCGAGATAAAATTTCAAATAGTAAATGTACTGTATTTCTACATAAATATCTGGTTCATCGATAAGCGCGATAAAAAAAAAATCTCAGGGGCGGGACAAAAACAGACAGAAGCAGGGCTTGTAGTGCTTGGATTTTCGGAATCAAGAACATGCAAATTTAAGGAATAACTGGCAGATTTTTTTTTTGATTTCATGACGATATTAAATCGATTGGTTTGCGTGATAATTTTATGCATAAATTGTCGTACAAGCAATTCGATTGATCATATCATAAAACCAACAAATTAGACAGCTATTCCTTAAACATTTTATTAATACTTCTGGCATGTAATTGAATCATCAAGGAAGTTACATGTATGGACCAAAAATCCCTACAATTCTAAACAGAATTTTCAGAACTTTAATAAGTGGCCATCAAAAACCAAAGTATCTTTTGTAATTTAGTTAAATAATTATAAACTTATATTAAGCAATATTTAAAGTACACTACCAGTAAATGGCTCTAGTAACTGACTTAAGATGTGAATAAAGCTATCTACTAGTGCTAAGTAACTGGGTAAGCGCCTTACGCTTAAGTGACTAAGATGTGAACTCCTTTGTAGTAAATGTTGATTGGAGTCAACTAACTAGAGGCCCATGGCCACATCGCTCACCTGAGCTCATCAGCTAGGAAAAAGCACACATCAGATCAGAACTGAAGGTTTACTGAGGTGGGGGGGGGCTTCAATTTTAATATTATTTGAGAATGCCTTCATATCAATTCAGCATATAACTATGCTGTTCTTGATAAAAAAAAGATTTCTTTTTAAACATTTTGTTCTTATATCGGACGAGGACAATCTGTGAAGAAACAGTTTATCTGATAAAATCTTTTCAAAAACTATCAAACATTGGGACGTCATGGAAAGACATAACGCTTCCGAGTTGCTGATCTTGTAAAAGCAACTCTAAGTTGTAAAAGAAATTAAGACATTGACAAAGAAATTATACAACGAAAACAATTGTTAGAAAAATGAATTTCAAATGCTAGAAAAGGATTTTTAATCAGTGATTATTGAAGTAAACTGTTGAAATGTATAGGGATAGTACCTCTGAGAAATTCTTGACGCTATGTTTTTGAGGTTACATTATATTCCGCGGGTACAAAACATGTTGAATTTAAATTGAAGTAAATAAATTTCTATTAAATCGAATGAAATGAAACTTCACACATCAACAATACAAATATTTTTACAAAGGATATTTAGCTTATTTTAATTTTTTTGAAAGTATTGTAACGAAGATTGGCATCGTCCACGAAAACTTTTCGAACAACCCTCGTATATTATTTCGAAATAATTTGAATTTGATTTCCCATGGTTTCCCTCCCTATCCTAAAGGGCCATGATTTGAACAAATTTAAATCTTCAATATATGAGGATGCTTTCAGGCCAATATGACTAAAATAGCTTTTCTGTCCTTGGGATTTTTCCCTCTATTTTTCTATATAAAACTTTGATCCACCATTGTGGCCCCACCCTACCCTTGGGGGATATGATTTGAACAAATTTAATTCTATACTACCCGAGAATGCTTCCATATAAATACTAGTATCACTAATCATGGCTTTGTTACTCTTGAGACGAAGACTTTTTAAATATATTTTAATGTAAAACTTGGAACCCCTATTGTGGCCCAACCCTATGCCTGGGGATTGTGATTTGAACAAACTAGAATCTACACTACATGACGATGATTCCATATAAATATCTCTAATCATGGCTTTAAAGTACATGAAAAGATGATTTTAAAAGATTTCCCTATAATTTCTACGTAAAACTTTGATCGGCCATGTTGGCCCCACCCTACCCCCAGGGGTCAAGATTTGAACAAACTTGAATCTATACTACCCATATGAGTTTCATCTTTCCTGTCTCACTTGTTCTTGAGAAAAAGATTTTTAAAGATTTATCCTATATATTCCTATGTAAAACTTTGATCAGCCATTGTGGCCCCAATGTACCCTCGGGGGTCATGATTTGATCATACTAAAATCTACACTACCTGAGGATGATTCCATATAAATACCACTAATCAAGTAATAAAGTACTTGAAAAGAGGATTGTAAAAATTTTCCCTATATATTCCTATGTAAAACTTTGATCGGCCATTTTGGACCCACCCTACCCCCAGGGGTCAAGATTTGAAGAAACTTGAATCTACACTATCTGAGGATAATATCACATGAGTTTCATCTTTCCTGTCTCAATGGTTCTTGAGAAGAAAAAAGATTTTTAAAGATTTTTCCTATATAAATTCCTATGTAAAACTTTGATCGGCCATTTTTGGCCCCACCCTACCCCCGGGGGTCATGATTTGAACAAACTTGAATTTACACTACCTGAGGATGGTTCCGCATGATTTCATCTTTCCTGGCCCAGTGGTTCTTGAGAAGAAGATTTTTCCTCTATATTCCTATGTAAAACTTTGATCAGGCCTTTTGGCCCCACCCTTCCCACGGGGGTAATGATTTGAATAAACTCGAATCTACACTACCCAAGAAGATTTCACATGAGTTTATTCATAATTATCTCCCCTTGGAAGAGGGCTTGGACCTTCATTTGAACAAATTTGAATCCCCTTCACCCATGGATACTTTGTGGCAAGTTTGGTTGAAATTGGCCCACTGGTTTTTGAGAAAAAGATAACAAGAATATACTGACAAAACAAACTTAGAAAGTCAACTAGGAAGTGTCATTAATATCCTAAAATGGTATAAGATGAGGGCTAGTGAGTTCAATCTTCTGCTGAATAAATTACATGTACATAAAATATATGAATTGTTTATGAACATGTATTTTATTCAATAGAAGATTGAACTCAATAATCCTCATATTATACGGTTTTAGGATATAAAAGTCACTTCCTCACAACATTTAGTATACATCAATCCAAACAGCTTGTTACAAGCCTGTAGAAAAGCAGAGTGGATGAGGGAGAGGGGGGGGGGATCCAAAAATCCCACGTGACTACGGGTTTATCTAGCTGTGCGGCATGTCCAATACATATTCCGTACGCATGATCAATAAAAAAGAATCGAAGTTATATATATTCCGTTACCAAAGCTGAAGATAGTAAGATTTTTTAAAATTTAAAAAAAAAACCGTACGAGTGAGAATTTAACATTAATTTTGTACCATTATTTTACTGTCACTCAAATAGCACATCATTTGCAGGCCCACGAGAAACAATTTCAGTTTGGGGGCACAATTATACAATTGCAGAATCTATCGATGGGATAACCTGCGTCACCTTTGAGAGTAACCAGTGGACTCGTCCAAAGATGCTTTGTCGGCGACTGTAAAAGTTACCTGAGATTCCTACGCGAAGAAATGCGCGAAATCTCTGTATAGAAACTGTTGCGGCTGCGGAGCTTCACTCATTTTTCATTCGCCATATGATAGAATCCGACATTTAACACTTAATATCTTTGAATATACAGACGTTTTCAACATAAGTTTCATTTTTGTTTCTAGAAATATTTTTATCTACAAAAATAATATGTTTCCGTGTTTGTAAACTGAGTAAATCGATGACCTAGCATCGTTTTAGATAACTCAAGCCCCTCTAGGGCTTGAGTAAAAATGTGAAAAGTTAACGACGAAAGCGACGACAACGACAGACAACAGACAAATTTTGATCAGAAAAGCTCACTTGAGCCTTCGGCTCAGGTGAGCTAAAAAGGGCGGGACTCAGAGATAATAGATCTTGTGTGATGACTTATAAGCCTTCATTATATCTTGATTTCTGAGATGTTATATAAATAAGATTGTAAATTTAGATTTTTTTTATTAAAACATCAAATATTTTTCTTTTGCTTAATTAAAGGGCTGCAGAGGTTAAGAAACAGATTGAGTTGAATATATAAAACGTGATCTTTTTCACCGTACATAATAATTCATTCAATTTAAATATACCTGAAAGTTAATAAAATTTCTGTAATTTCGCACAAAAATGTTCCCATCCAGGAGGTTTATGATCTAAAAATTACCAAGACCGTTCTAACATTTTCTGATCTTTTCCTCTTAAATAAATCTTGCAAAGATACTTTAAGTGGTAAAACATAAGAAAAGATATTCTAATTTCATGTCATTTTTATGCTGTAAAATACATAACAAACGAATAATAGACATCAATACATGATCTATGATTAGGTTTGGGGTATGCGGGTTTCCTTCCAAAAAGAAAAATTAATGTCGGTTGCAATGGATGAACAATTCACCTCAGGTGATCTGAAAGGTAAGTAATGAAATATATAGTATATAATTTTTTTTATAATACAATAATATACATTTTATAAATATAATCTATATCTTATCATTTCCAGCAGCTTATTTTATTCAAAACACCCTTTTATCTTGAAGTCAAATGTGTATTTTTGTTTACTAAATACCTAATCCAGCAACTGTAGAAAAGACAAAATATTTTATTTGCATTAATTGTATAATATTTTAAGTCAGGAAAATATTAAATACATTTTGTATCAACAAGAAATATTTCATGCTTATTACCGTCATTATGTTCACTTAAGATATAACAACAAATCTCACAACAATTGGATTGTTTTTAAAAGAAATTTCATCATTTTTTTGTCTTTTTCTTGCTATTCAAGTTTAAATTTAAGTATAAAAAGAAATTGTTATATACATGCACTACAGTTTCTTAAAATTTTACACAAAATTGTTCTTTTCCAGAAGTTTTTTTAGTCAAAATATTGATTACCATACCAACCTAATATTTTCTGCTAAGATACGTTTTGCAAGAATTACCACTCATAATCGTTAGAATAAGCAATCATTTTAAACAATAAATCATTTTGATGTTGTAAAACAACACAAGAATTTGAATAACTTCAGTTACTGATACATTTTACCTATATTTAAGTGTAGATCTAGAGGTAAATAAATGTCAATTTTTCAGTCCAGAAAATAAAATCAATTTTGGTGTCAATCGACGAGCAATTCACTTCAGCCAATCGGAAAAATAAATCATTTTACACTTCTAAATTTGGGTATTTGTTGGGTAAAATCAAAATTATCAATTTAACTGTTAATAAAATATTAAACTTTAAGTTCATTAAAGTTTTGACTGTAACACAAATTGACAAAATAGGGACATGGTGCTATTAATAATAAAGAAATCATACATTCAGCAAGGGATAATGGCATGGGATGTTCACTCCTCCATAGTACCCGACCCCACCTCCGATATTTTAGAGGTCCATGCTTGCTCTGCCCCCTATATTGATTTCTTCACTTTGAAGCTTGAATACTTTTCGGTATCTCCATATATTTCATTAATACTTCGTTAATTGCACAAGCATTCAATATCGTTTGTTTTAAGAAAGATTTTTCCCCGATTTTTTTTTAAGTCTAGTTACATGTAGCTTGTAAATGTAAGGTGTAAGGTATGAAGAAGTACACGTAATTTATAAAACCTGTGCATGTTGAAAGTTGTTACTGAGTTATCCTAAAATCTCGTACTTTTTTTGTTCTAACTCTTCCATAAAAAACTATGTTAGGAAAATATTCTTTACACAAGAACACTTACCCATGTCTAAAAACATCTTGTTGAACCCTTCCTATCTTTGAATTTCTACAGAGGACTTGGGAGAGTGTTACGTTCTTGATTTCATTAAGTTGGTGAATCGTAAACCTTGTGTGGTAATCATGATTTTCATAATAAAAGCGGTCACCAAACTTCAGGGCTTTAAATTGAAGCGCAATAATACAGGCAAATGTTGGCCCAACAACCGCTCCCGGAAGTGGTTCCTCTGTCACCCCACCAGTAAAGAGGTCAATATCCTCTACATGTCTACAAGAACATTAGATCATAGTAAATAGGAAATGAATTCTTCACCTGTAATGCACATCTGTAATAATGATCATTGATTTTTTATTGAAATTGATAACGAAGTAAATAATACGTTTCATGAGTAAATAAATCTTACGACTTAAAAGTATTTATTTTGACTCTACATTGCTTTGGATATCTTAAATGCACTCTGCAATTCCCTTTTTGAGATAATATGCCATTTACATGTAACTGCTACAAAAAAATATATTAATATGTCTTCTTCGTATATCAAATATCATTTTGTCTTTACATTTTAACCAAAGAAAAAAAAATCTATACATACTCATATACATGCTTCAGATGATCAATCACGTCTTTCGTGTGATCAATGAGGCCACAGAAACTATCTGATGTGGGTAGCTTGCACATTCTCCTGTACTCCATGTAACCAGGTACGCCATGGTCACGCCCTCTGTTGATATTGGTTGATATGAGGTCATTTGCTGTTTCTGGTTTACCATGTTCTTCAAACAAATGGTTGCTTACTTCCTCTGATTTGAATCTAAAGTTTTTAGTAAAAATTATGCTTCAGGAGATCTAGCAAGGTAACGGGATTCTAATTGACATAGGATCAAGTCAATATGTTGGAATAAATGTTTGGTTGATACCTCATAAGACCGCGGAACATTAACTGCCAAAATTGGAAATATATAGCTTACATCATTTCTATCTGGTACAATCAAAACATACAGTGATAGACAATGAAATGGGCGGGTACAATTCGACGCGGACGTGGAGAAAACAGCGGATTGAAATTGCAGGTCGAAATTCATTTTCAATCCACCTGAGCTGTTTTCAAAAGCAAAGAATGAATGTATGATCCAAAAATTAACTAATTTCAACTCCCAAATACATATTGTTTGAAGTTCACATTAATACAAGTTTTAGCTTTTAATTTTTATAACGCGAAAGATCATAGAAGACAAAGATTATTTTTCAGGAGATATTTGATTGTAGAAGGGGTGGGGGTTAAAATTGTCGAGTCAGGTCATGGCTTAACAGGACAATATATTTGATTTCTAGGATTATAAGAGTGCATGAGTTTTATAGTTTTTATACTTATTCTCACTGAAAACTGTTGGACAACTTTATTTTAAAATCGTTCAGCCCCTCTCTCCCTACCAACACAAATATATACATATATTTACCAAACAAAAATGAAATATTTGTCCCTTAAATATTTCTTTATTTAAAACATTGGACAAAAAAATTTAAACTGCACCAAAATTAAAATTATTTGTCTTCTGGGTCAACCAGTGCCTTCTAGCGTAGCCGAGGTAGATTGAAAATGAATTTCGATCTGCAATTTCAATCCGATGTTTTCCCCACGTCCGCGTCGAATTGTACCCTCCCATTTCATTGTCTATCACTGAATGTTTTGATTGTTACAGATAGAAATGACGTAAGCTATATATTTCCAATTTTGCCAGTTAATGTTCCGCGTTCTTATCGCATGAAGAATTGGCAAATTACATGTGGTTATTTTCAAAATTGACAAAATATGACAAATAAATTCAAAAACTTCATGGGGCAATAGAAAGAATGATTCCTATCCATGTGTAAAGACGGATACAAACCTGTCGACGCTTTGTGAATGCTCATTATATAAACCCCTTACGATTCCCTCAAAGCCCTCTTTTCTATACAGTTCGTCTGGATTAAAGAAATCTTTTCTCAAGGGAATCCTTGTGTTATTTCCGTCGGATTTTCTAAACCCAAATTTGTCGTTTATCATGCTATGACCAAATCGAAAAGCAGCCACCATAAAGCCCGCTCTTAACATCAGCATCACCTTGGGGTCATAACCTTTAAAGTACTCCCCAGGTGGCTTTGGGTTAAGATCGAAACGTGTCATCATTTCAGGGCCAAGGATTATGGGCAAGTATTCGTTGTAAGTGATATGTTGAAACTGAGCTCCAACAATTCGTCTTGCCTCCTGAAATAGTCTTTCGTCATTCCAGTGTGGGTTATAGTAATATAGTCTTCTAGCTATTCGATTATGTTCCCTTAGCCATGCAGTATGTTGCATGAGTAAAGCACTGTTTTGGTTAACACGCCCATCTCCTTTGAAAAAAGAATGAATGATGTAAAAGTGTATAAAATTTTAAGTAGATATATAAAAATCAATTTAATATTTTTATCCTGATTTTCATATTTTTGTACAAAAAATACTAAGACTACTTTACCAGAAAGAAAACACTGGAATTGCTTTGGCCTACATTCACTTCCATTGCCCTCTGGATCCACGGGCATCAATTCCAGATAATCAACAGGGTGTTCCTGTACTCTTAGTAGACCTACAATACACATGTGGAAGGTTTTTTAAGCCTACGATAGTTAGTTTTTGAGGTTTTTGGATAAATTAATTTGTCTGTAGGTGAATAAATTTAACATTATTTATTTTTTTTTAGGATGCATCGTACCAAACTGTGTTTTTTTTTCGGTCTTTATTTGAATCAAACATTCTGATCGGTGTTAAACAACACCTCATTTCATTGGCTGACCTTTTTAAAACTGATTGGCTTGGGCGTAGTCAAGTTAAAGACACACACACAAAAAAAAACAATAAAGATGTATAATAAGTTTTCTTTTTTCTTTAATTTTGTACCACAACTTAAAAAGTTGAACCGATTCAATTACACTACGATTTACGATTTATAATTACATGGCGATTGTAAAATTATTTATGTTATACTTTGTAACTCGTCGTCATGTATATATTTTTTATGGGTTTTAAATTATCAGCAATCAGAAAGACCGCCAATGAACAAACGTTTTAAAATAGTGCAAAGGATTGTTCAGATTCTCACGTAATGCGAAAAGAAAGACATTGGTGCGATGCATAATAATACTTATATGCAATATACATATGTACTCAATTACCCGACTTGTTTGCTCTAAGTCCTTCATAGTCTTCATCATTAGAACCGTAAGTGGATGAGACATCGATGGGCATGGTATATTCCGTAATCTGTTGTCTGGTATCTGAAACAAGAAAAGAATGTTAATGCTTCCAAAGTACTGTATACAGTGTTATTTTCACCCCGTGTTATTTCCGCCCTTAAGTACTTGCAAAGAATTTTGTACCATTTTAACTTCGCCTAGTCATAGTTCTGTTTATGAAGTTATGATGTGTAATTTCAATGTAACACAATGAGTCAACAGCATGTCTTTCTTTTACGATATCTATAGCATACAGAGAAAGACTTGCAAAAATATGAGTACAATGTATATAGCGAAAATATGACAATCAAACAGCAATAAAAAACTGCACAATATTGGTAACGGAAAAATAAAGGTTATATCTACCGTTTCATTGTTTTCGTTTATGACAAGGTCACGCCACTTTTATTTTTAGCTGAATCGATCATGTAAACAACATTCTTACATTCATTCCTGGGTACATGTACTTGAGACCATGGTAACTACGGAAACTTATTATTAATATATTCAACTTTTCTGCGCACAAAAGAGAGAAAATTTCGCATGTATTTGCAATGGGACATTTTTTGATTTTTATGTTCCGAAATCTGTAATTTTCTGAAACATAATACTTTTAGGAATTAATTCGGGTCATTCAAAAATTCTACAATTGAAAAAAAAAACTCTGCGTACAGTATTTTGTCGTGTGTCATTGTAAATGTTACATCATGGCTTTTAAAGGAGAAAAAATATCGAAACTGTAATTTTATTAAGTATAATTCTTTATAATCCGCGAAAGGATTATAAAAAAGCGAACAAAATTAATATGGGTCATTCTTATAATTTAATTTTAAAATAATCACACAAAAAAATTATAGTTCAAATTTACCGCGCAATAATACAAAAAAAAAAGCGAGGGGAGGTAATAACTGATACATACAGCCATGATGTTTGTTTTGTCGAGTAATTGTAAAGTGTACATTTATTAAATATGAAATTTTCCATGGTTTCTGAGGACTGGAAATGATTGCATGGATATTTAAAGGGGGTGTGAGAAAAAATACAAAATGTTTTGCGTTCCTTTTTGGAAATCAACCAATGAGAGGCGAGAATACAAACAAAATAAATTATTTTGGAATGGAACACTCCTTTGATTCAGAAAATAAGCCGTGTTATTACCGTAATCACAATGCAGATCAGGGCTAGGGAAAGACCTGGCAAAGTTTAGACATGTCACTCCAAACTGTGAAAAGTGTGGATCATTACGAGCAACATCAATGGGCATAATACAGTTAGGGTCATGTTTGTGTTTTCCACAGCATTCCAGATCTTCGCCATCGGGTGCTGAAATGAGATTTTTTAAATATGTTTTTTTTTCTTCTAACAATTACTAAATGTAAAGGACTTTTTATTGAAGTACCTGAAGATTTTTCAGCCAACCAATGAAATTTCCTTTCTTTAGAATATTAAATCTAAAAATTGTGATGTACATTTTGCAAAAGTAGCATTAAAAATCGTTAATCAGGAATGGACACGTTAGAAGAATTTGACTTTTCAAGAATGCTTATTGCAGAATTAAGAAATGGTATAAAAATACAATCAAAACAATTAGTAAAATTCAAACTTTATGCTTTGAATTAAGTTTAGAGTCTTTTTCCAAAAAGCAATCAATGTTAAAATGTTTTTTTTTTTAAACATTTGCTTAAAGTATTGGTTTCATGGGCATTTTACTTCGTTGTTTTCAAAGTTACCAAATTTAATATAAATTGAAACTAATACCCATCGTGGGATTTAATTTCGTTGATAGTAATAATTGTTAACAATGACATCGACATAATATACATGTAATTACCCACGAATATTTCTGCTTTAAAGAGGCTAGGGTGTGGCAGCCATTTTCAGACTATTTCGATCTCTTTTTGAAGAAGAGCTCCATATAAAGATATACAAAAATGATCAAATTTTAAAACTAAAATGTATGAATTTTTTCTTTGCTAAATGATAGTTGACCGCTTAAGATACCGTATCTGAAAAAATAAGTTAAATCTTGTGGTTATTTTGTTGTTTGACCCCCCCCCCCCCAGCCTCATTAACAGAAGTCAAATAATATGAACTTGCCTTCCGCTTTTATGTTTTCCAACATGTCATGACTGAGAAACTGTCCAAAGGACATCGCAAAATGATTCAGATTTTGAAGCTGATGCTTTGGAAGACTTTTCTCATGGATTTTTAGTCGTATTTCTCTTGGCTTTGGCAATAGTCTTCCAGATTTCCCCCGACTTCGAGGTGCTCCCTTACCTTCAATGAAATGAACTCTGATATTTGAAAAAAATCATGAGGTAGAGAAAATAAAATTCAGGTATTAATCAAGTTAAGTTTGTCATTGTAAAAGAACTGCTTGATTTAAGAGGACTGGGTGGTTGTGGTCATTTTTAGACTATATTGATCTCCTTTAGAAGAAGATCTCCAAATAAAGATAAAAAATGATGAAATTTATAAACAAAAACGTGTGACATTTTTCTTTGCTAAATGATGGCTGATCACTTAATTAAGGTTAATTTAGGTCTAAAGAAAATAATTATTTCAGGGGTTTATTTGTTGACTCCAGCCTCCTTAAATACACCTACCATCTTCATAGGCAGCGGGCATAAATCTGATTAAAGGAGTTTCAGCCATTCCCCAGAATGGATGCTCCAAGTTATTGCAGCTTCCATCGATAGTTCGAAATTTAGACTTTGCGTTGCACTCGATCCTATCTAAAAACTCACATTTGGCATGTGGATCACGGGGGCTGCCACTGCTCCGTTTACTTTTTCTTTTGAAAAGAACTTCATTATGTTAAATGTCATAAAACTATCTTTGTCATACAGTCAAAACGTTAATAACTGTGTAACATAGAAATCAAAACTAACTGCACGAGTGGAAGATTCCTATTAATATTTTTATAGGCACCATTTGAATCTGGTGTACTATCTCATCACTGAAAATTCCTAATATCAGAAATACTTGTCTTACATATTAAATACTAGTATTCTTCTGCGTAAATAAAAAAAATGTATCGAAAACAATATATCAACAATAGATAAAATAAATTTTAAAAAATGATTATTAAATATGCATAAATAAACAAATAAATATAACAAATAAATAAGCCTTGCATAAACAGAAAACATGAAATATTTTTGACTCGAAATCTTCATGATTCGCAGCCGTATTCTAAAATAAAGAATTGAATTAAAGATTTCAATTAATCGGAAAATTAACTAAATCACACTCTACAAATGCAATTGAGTAGAGGCAGATTACCTTGTCATTTTTGAGTCGGATCTTTTCCCTCTAGATGGAGCGTTGAACATGAATTTATTGTAATTGAAGTTTCCTTTGGCTGACGTCGTCAATAGATGTTGTTGATCGGGATTGGGTAAAACTCGCTTCTTGTCTTTTCTGAACCCACAGAAATTTAACCCTTTTGATAATTTTAATTGAAACAGGGCACTGAAAAGATATATTTTGTGAGTATATTAGACATGCAGTATGTAAAAGTTCTTAAAGAAAAATATTTTAAACATAACTTTTATACACCCCAATCATTCAAACTTTTTCCCCGGTAGGAACCGAGGTCCCTTGTTGCAGTACGTGCGGGCACTGAAAAGATCCCTCACTCCGCAATGACGCCAGTAGACGTGTGCATTGAATACAAATAAGTCGCAAACGCTTGATGAAAAGAACGCCGTCGCTTAAAGGCTTTAATTGAGGCATACACTTCCACAGTTTGCAGCTCACCGGTAAGTTGTGGCGTTTTAAAATAAGTAGAATTTTTTCGTAGATCGAATAAATTAACAAGCGGATATATAAATATCTAATATATACTGCGCTTACTATCATAAACTTTATTTTGTTGTGAATTGTTAATTGTTAAGATTCAATTTTCAACAAACAAATTGTTTAATTCATTTTTTTTTTCATGCCATGGATTCAAAGATTTTTATATATTGTCAAAGTTCAGAGACTGTTCATAAAGTTTACATTTCTAAACTGCTCATAACGATTTAAGTAAGTAATGAATCAGTTTTTGTTTGTTTTATTTGTTCTACTCCCTTTGGATAATATTTTCACTTAATTTTTCATTGCAAATATTTAACGTTTACCTACAAATTATGCTCAAAACACCTTATTTGATCTAAAGTTGTAAAGCATCAATAAAGGCAAATGCACACGTGGTTAATGAATCGATTTGTGTTTAACTTTGGTCATTTTCGATAAAAGATCAGCACACCTGTTGATGGCTATGGCAAGAACCTGCATGGGGCAACACATGATCTTGGTTTCAAATGATACACAGCTTCTACAGTAAAACTCGTTTAGCACGAACACGGATATTACGAATTCACGGATATCTCGAAGTCATCTTAGATCCCCAGAGCTATTTAAATTTAATGAATTTCTTATACGGTTATAACGAATTACGGATATAGCGAAGTGATTTCATAGGTCCCATTGACTTCGTTATAACCGAGTTTTGCTGTACCGCATATAGTAGCAGTGTAATTCAAATTCTCGGGTGGTGTTTTCTTTATCCAGTGAGGGTTTAGGTCAATTGTACAGTGTACTCTTCTATATCGATTTATGATTAGTTAAAATATGTTTTATCATGTACAGTTTTGTCTTCAATTAAGAAAAATGAAGAGTCTAATTTGGGATAACGAGTAATAAATGAGAATTGTATTGATTCAAACCTTAATTAATTTGATGAATATTTATATGGATATTTACGTAATTTTGAAATCATCAGATTCTCTCAGTGTATCAGATTTTATAAGAGAAAGCATAAAAAGAGAACATCTGATACAAAAGACAATTCAGAATTTTCAATCATCCGTTAGACATATTTCTTAAAAAAAATGAAGTAAAAGGAAGGAATTAAAAAAGTTTTTCTTCTGAGTCAGCGATGAATGCTTTTCTTTCTCTTAATATGGTACTAGTCATATACCAGTAATGGTTAGAGGTATTATTTTAACAAAATTAATTGTATACTTTTATCTAAAGAATAAGTTTAAAGTACCTAATGTGAAATTGATTCTGATCAACATTTCCATCTACGACGATGTCAGATCCATTTTTAATGTCTTGTTTTCCTCCAGAATACAATTCATCACTTGTTACGTTTTGCCAACCACCTCCAAAGTCTCCAGAAGACTTATCTCCAAATATACCTTTAATGTAATCGGCGAAATTACCGCCTGGACCGCCTCCGCCACCATCACCATCTCCATTACCATCTCCATCGCCATCACCCTTGCCATCATCACCACCACCATCACCATCACCTTTGCCATCACCACCACCACCATCTCCACCACCATCGCCATCACCACCACCATCACCATCACCCTTGCCACCATCATCACCACCATCTCCACCACCATCGCCATCACCACCACCATCACCATCACCCTTGCCATCATCACCACCACCATCTCCACCACCATCGCCATCGCCATCACCATCACCATCACCATCACCCTTGCCATCATCACCACCACCATCTCCACCACCATCGCCATCACCACCACCATCACCATCACCCTTGCCATCATCACCACCACCATCTCCACCACCATCGCCATCATCATCACCCTTGCCATCATCACCACCACCATCGCCATGACCATCGCCTTTGTCATCACCGTAACCATCGGTGTTGCCATCTCCGTCACCACCAAAACCGCCAAAACCACCAAAACCACCGAAACCTCCAGGAGTTGGACCTCCAAAGCCACTGCCTAAGTCAACACCAAAATCGCCAGCATTGTCTTCACCAAAGACATTAACGTCTGACCAGTCGTCATATTCATCCGAAAACCCATGTCCAAAGGGATTACCACGGCATGTTGTGATCGTCAGTGCGACCTAAGATAAACAAACGAAACAATGACATGATTCCAAATAGAATCTATTTCTAAGAATTGTATGTTGGATTTTGTTGTAAAGCCCATTTTAATGATTTCTTTTTTTTTTTACAGGTAATACATGTAGAGAAATTAAATATTTTTTTTTTAATGGTGATGCACTAAATTGCATTATTGTAAATACCACCTAACTAAACTAATGAAAATTGTATGTTGTCCATTTCCGATTTATATTTGAAACCAAATTGTACCTTTACAGATTTATTATCGGCCGCTGCAGCGTCCGATTTATTTTTGGTTGTGTTAGAAAGTGCACATGCGGAAATGAGACGTCATCTTTTATCAGGTCAGTAAAATAATTCTTAAATGATCACAAGTAAAATTTATGAGTAATATATTTTTAAAACTTGTTTTAAATTAAGTAATTTTTGTTATTATATATATATATCTCAATTTATTTATCATTTTTTAATCAGATAATTGATAATTCATGATTATATAAAAAGAGTTTACAATATATATACTCCCCATCCTGGGAGTGTGTAAGATATGAAGGGAAATCGTCATGATTTTTCCGGATAATAATGACGTGGTAAAAGCGCATGATGAATAAAATTTGAAAAGGTTTTCAAACTAGTAAAAACTGTTTGAATATTCTCTACAGCTGCAAATGACACAGTACAAAGATATGTTTTCTACATTTTGCATTGGCTTCTTTTACATGTAACATAGCCCTACTGTGCAGAAACCATGGGCATTATCACGTGACCAAGATCCAGGGTATCAGCACGTGGTTTCTCTTGACCTTGATCATTTTCAATTAATTCTCATCATTCATCATTGTCTTATTTTCTTACATTGATGAATCTATTTATGAGCAAATGCGGCAAAATGTCTATTTTCTTTTAAAATTATTCATTTTGGCTTGAAGACAGCTAGTCCGAAAAATCTGACGTTTTCCTGGCTTTTTTATGATTTTGATATTTTACATTGCAAATAGTCAGAAAAATCTGACGTTTTCCTGCCTTTTTTACGATTTTGATATTTCACATGCCAAAAAGTCCTTAAAATATGACGTTTTCCTGGCTTTTCTACGATTTTGATATTTTTTCATGCCAAATAGTCCGAAAAATCTTACGTTTTCTTGTTTTTGTTTTTTTTACGATTTTGATATTTTACATGCCAGAAAAACGTTTTCCTGACAGTCTGAAATAAAAATGATTCAACTTTTTCACCTTTAAATATCTTGACGCGCTTTCCTTGCATGGATGCTTTTAAAATTGTGAAAGATTTTTTTTAATGCTAAATTTTGTTTGCGGCCGATTCGATGCTTTTCATCAATTTTACTTGTTTACTATGAAGCTATTTTGAGATATAAAGCTCATAAATGTTTCAAAAATTCCGTAGCTATGACTGCAATTTTGAAAAGAAAATGGCTATAAAAGCTCAACAGTTATCTTCTTTTATTATAAAGAATAGATAAAATAAATAATGGAAATTTAACAATTGTGTTTTTGCATTTTTTCATAAGGTGGATATTTTTTTTTCAGTTGGTTGAATTCAGCACTTTATCTTTATTTAAAAAAGAATCATAACAGATCATACAGAAAGATAATTAATAATAAAAAGTACATGTACATGTAATTAAAAAAATACTTACCAACAGCATTAATATTTTCCCTGTGTCTGAGATGTATCTCATGTCTTATTTTTCTGGTTATGTTATCTTCAGAAGTTTTGTACACAATTTATATACAGAAACGTACACTTATTTTTAATTGATTCGATAATGGACTTTCACTTGAGATCGCGGGAACAGATTATAAACATCTATCTTTTTATTAATTTACGTAGAATATTAATAATTACTGATAATTGAAGATAAATGATAGGAAAATAAAATCTTTAAAGCCTTGTACTTTTTATTGACTAATCATAAATAAAGCATTCCTGAAGTACCTCCAAACATGAATCGGTAATAGTTTTAAGCACCTGGGGACAGAGACTGAAAGTTTTTATGTATTTTTTTTATATATGAACTTTAAGATATAATTACTGTATGTGTTATGAATAGAATCAATATCAAACTACACGATCAATACCATGAGTAGCTAACAGGCTATAGCCTATTTTGAATACTTGTAAGTAAGCATATTCGTGAACATTGTAAATTATAATTTTAAAATTTGTGTGTTTACACTAAATAACTTAATGTAGAACATCTGCTTGTCAAATATTTAAATTAAGAAAATATTACAGCCACAAACAATGTTAAAGTGTTTCTATTACTTTTAAGTCAATATTGAAAAATAAGGAGACAACGAACAGTTTTTTATTTTTAGCTCAAAAGTCAATACAAAATAGGAGCAGAGCACAAACGGACCTCCTAAACATAACAGGTTTGTATATAAACCATGATTTTTTGTTAAATAATCAGTCTGTTGGCTCACTTGGTTCTGAATAATGCAACATCTTCTAAGAAGTAAGAAATCAAACAAAACCCCGTAACAATATACTATCACATGTAATATACAAGTGTAACATGAAAGCCATATCCATTCTTTTTCAAATGTTGTGATTAGTTAAAAGCAATGTTAAAAGTTTTGAAAAAGTAGGTCCAATTTCAAGGTCAAGATCACAAAGTAAAAATCATAGTACATGTATATTTGGAAAAGGTATTGCCACAGGTAAGTTGCATTTTCAAAATTCATATTTACAATTTTATTTCATTTACTGCCCGTTCTGTGATTTATCTAACATTTCCAGCTATTGTGGATGTCCTAGCATACCCAACAAACAGGACATGCAGTTTTTTTTTTTATTTTAAACATAGTTTATTGAATAAAGCAAAAGGATTGGAAACAAGTTCCTCTCCTTAAATATAACATGTCATGCAATTAAAATACATGTGGTACATAGGAATATAAATCCAAAAAAGTTACACAAGTGAAACATTCGTTAGTAACACAACAATTTAAAATCTACAGGAGGATTCATTAACAAATTTATGCACAGCAGCAAAAACATATATATTTGTTTAGGACAGTGATTCCTTTAAAGTTATTTAACATACGAAAACAACTTGCTAATTAGCGTGAAAAGTAAAAATGTACGGCTGCAACACTAAAAGTTACAAGCAGACCATGAGTTGACTTTAAAACAATCATTAAAATATTTAGATCGCATGGATTTCCTCCTATGACTTTTCATTTGCTCTCTCTCTCTATACAGTGGTTTCAAGTAAATTAGTTTTCATAGGCATTTCATTTGGAGGGTCTCTGTTATAAACAGGACTTACATACATGTATTTCATTTCCCGACGTCTTACAACAAATAAGATGGAACCAGAAATGATGAAAAACAGCACGATTAAGATTATGAAAATGAAAGTGAAAATAAATAATGGATCTTTAGACTTCCGGTTATCTGCTGTTTGATGCTTCAAAGTTGTGTGTTTATTTTCAAGTTGGACAGTCTTTATAGTCGCCGATTGTTTATCTGTTTTCATTTCTTCTTGAGTCGTATTCACGTCAAAGGTAGCATTTTCTAAAAGAGATAATAAGGAATATACTAACAGTAAAAATAAATTGTTGCAATAATTTTCGTGTTCAAGATAAAACTTACTGGCAATAAAAGAGTAATAATTGTTCTTAACAAGCAAGACCTTTTGCAACAAATAAAAAAAAGTTACTCGTAAATATTGACTATATCACATGGTTTGTTTGGATTATAATAACAAGTGCGTTAAATAGAATAAAAAGTAGACTGACCAAAATAGATAAAAATGTTTTCAGCATATCCTGTTTACCAGTAATATTTAATGATTATTTTCGTATATCGCTTCGAAGACATTGAAATTTATATTGAAATACTTCCCGAAAATTTCAGAGGGTCGCGAGTTATCTAAAGCGATGCTCTAGGTTATCTATTAGCTAGATCAATTTAAAAACACAAAAAGATTCATTTTGTATGAGTTTTTGCTGTTTTTTTAATTGATCAATCAAGCAATTCAATAACTGAATGGTCAATAAACTTCATATCTAATCACATCTTTCGGTAAATCAACGTGATTTTCCGAGCTCGCCAGAGAGGTGTTCTCAGAACCTTTAAGACGCGATTGACTGTTTTATCGCACGTGTGTACAAAGAAAGGCTATTTGGCCTTGCAAGCACGGGTGTGACGCCTAGACTTGACTTAACTTAACCTTGATGAACAAAACTAATGTCGGTAAATATGGTAAAGAATACTTTTCAAAAAGTAGTAGTTGAATTTATTCAACATGTCCAAGCTGTTAATCTATATACATGTTCTTTGTTTGAAATGTTTGAACAATATTATTTAGTTTGTGTACACGGATATATGTATAAAAGTAAAAATAGGATCTTGGTTACGCCAAAGAATACAAAAATACGATGTGCACATTGCCAATGAATGGCATGTTCTAATTCGAAAAGAGCGGGTTGTTCCAGCGGGAAGTTGTTTTACAGGCAAACTCTCCAATGTCTCACCAGAGGGTGTTTTACGCCCAGCTCTAACACGTCTAACTGAATCCTCTGGAGAAGCATTGGCAAACTCTCAAGTATTCTCGCGCATGCTTACCCTGGCATAAGCCCATGACATCCGGTTTAATATACATGTATCAGCTATCTATCATTGAGAAGAAACTTAATTTTATGCTGAAAAAACAGACCTTGAATTATATATTTTTTGTCCATTATAGTTTTCTCTCATAAGTTATCGTGATGACATGCCCTGCACTGTAAAAATGTTGTAATTATTTAAATTTTCGAAATTAACACATACCTAACACTTCATGAATTGCCTGCAAATAAAAGTTTTGTATAACATATTAATTTGATTGTACCTGCGTCCAGATATTTCGTTGGTGCCAATGTTTTTTTTTGAAGAATCAATGCTTGGCGTACCAATATTGCTTACAGATTTTACTGTGCAAGAATAAAGTTTTATTGTTAAAAAAATAAAATTATATAAGAACTGAAGATGATTATACATGTAATAAACATCAACAATTTTAAACGTATATAGTTTATTTTCATTTGAAAAATCAAATAATATTGCGAAATAAAGTATCCAAAAAATAAAGATGGTTGTAGAAAGCTAGAATGAATGCTAAACACTATATAAAATGAAAATTTACTATAATATTTTTTTTTTGAAATTGTGTATAGCATTTTAAGTTAAGACTGAGATTTTAAAAAATGGCCAAAAAGAAATGCAATAAAACATACATTCTGAAATAATACCATCATATCGACATCCGTATGCATGATGACAATCCTGTTTCCTACACCCACAGTATGACTGACATTCAACTCCATACGACGGATATGGGCATAGTACAGAACAATTTATACCAAAGGTCCCTACTCTACAAGCTTTTCAAGCAAAATTAAGTTTTAAGAACTTTTCTTTTTAAAAATAACATTGCAAAATTAAATGACGCTTGGAGTAGTTAATTCATACCTGTACACTTATTTGATGATGGATCCCAGTAATATCCAGAACAGCAAATGTTCCGCTTGAAAATATGATGAAATATCATTATTTCACTTAGAAAACAAAATCAAATTCAAGAAAACAAGCATAGTAAAAATATTTTTTCAAAGAGAACAAAACTACAATTTTTCATTTATGGAATACATGGAAATAACGAACAGTATTCAAGCTCAAATGTCCATTTTACAATACTAAAGAAACAGAGCAATCACGGACCCCCAAAACATCAGAGGTGGGATCAGGTGCCATAGAGGAGTAAACATCCCCTGCCTGCCGACCGGTCACACCCTCCGTGTGCTCTTTGTCATGATTGGGAAATAACGGAAAATCCGTTTACAATTCAGTTTTTATATATAATAACCTAGATATACGTATGAAAAAACGTCAGTTTTCGAAAATTTAAATGTCCGAGGGTTGTCCAAAATTTCGTGAACAAATGCTTCATATTCTTTACAAAGTTTGCAATGGCAAAAGTGTATAGTAATATCTTAATATAGACCATGATTTAGTAAATGTTCAAAAATTGAATTCAATGCGCACTATATATTATGAACATTATAGTCGTAAATGCTTTATATGTGCAAACCGTATGGGCAAATCTGATGAAACACTAATTTCATGATATTAACGTCAAAAATATGGATTCTAATTTTTTTTATCACATGTTCATGGACACACGTTATTTTTCATTATAATGCCACACTCCCTATTGTATGCAAATATATTTATGTGTAGACCATAAATAATTTCATTTTCAAAAAAAAAAAACCAATATATGCACTTTAACTTACGAGCGTCATCAATATAAACACCTCATATACACAGGCTGCACAACCCAGTCAGACGGGGCTAGATTTATAACAACCTCATGAATAATATATCATAAACCATTGATTTTGACAAAAACGCTATTGTCCACGAACTTTTTGGACAACCCTCGTTTTTCTAATTAAGCAAGAAAAAACTATGATTGTATCAACGTCATATACACTATACTTACATCAACGGAACAGAATGGGAATGACGTTCCAACTTCGTAGAATACAGTAATTATGTTCCCCAAACGAAGTTGGGGAACATATTGTTTTTACTCTGTTTCTTATTATTATTATTATTATTTTTCTTCTTCCTGGGAAAATCTTTTCCGCGAATGATCTTGTAAACTACATGTCCGACTTAGGTGAA